AGCATCATGCCTCAGCCACAGTTTACCCCTGGGAAAGAACCCCGGTACCCATTCGATAGGAGGCTGGGTGGGCCCCAGAAACGGTCTGGACGCAGAGGCTAGAGGAAAAATCCTCTGGCCCCGTCGGGGATCGAACCCCGGTCGCCCAGTCCGTAGCCATCCCTACTATGTTTCAAAACATAAACATTTCTCATAAGCATACACCCTTGATGCAAATCAGTTTTTGCAGGACTTCAATGGGTAGTGCTCACACAGTATTCAACTACAAAAGAATTGTGTTCAGCACAGTGACGTCTATACTATTTTTACCTATAATAATTCAGTGGCTGATATAGTAAACAAGAAAATGCACTTTGTACATAACATCTCTGACTCAAGAGTCATCAATGGGTATCATTGGATGCTTTAGTATACTGTTATCACCAGGGCTGTGGAGTCGGAGTCGGTAAAAATGTACTGACTCTGACATCGACATAAAATCTTAAGAATACTTTCGCTACCGTGTGGGCCACCGGCGGCCTCATGCTTAGGGAGACTCAACGACGCGTTCAGCCACATGGTGTGGGAATAATGCCTTGTAACTTTGGCTCCAGTACCTTAAGAACACAAACTGTCTGCAAATCAACCGGTTTCTGCATTAACCATTAGACGTATATTTAAATACTGGGATACTGGGAATGACCCGTCCTTCAAGTGCCTGAGCACTGCGGGTCCCAACTTTTCGTTGGCTTGATCTATAGACATTCGATAGGACTCCTTGGACGAGGGATCGACCCGTCGCAAAGGCCTCTACCTGTACACAGGACAGCACAACACAGAAAAACGCGGACTAACATCCATTGCTTGAGTGGGATTCGAACCCACGGTCCCAGCGACCAAGCGGCACAAGGCCCACGCCTTAAGAACTGTGTTAGTGACTATGTCCTTAAATAAATGCATCCATGACAACAGTAAAGAGCATCAGTGTGGTTCATGCATTTGTTTCATAAGGGTTCATAGAGTCAGGTCCACGTTTCATTAGCAGAGAAATGAGAAGATAATTAGCTGATTATTAAAAGGAAGTTGTACTTACCAACTTTTCCTAGAGAGCCTCCCATCTTGAAGTCTTTTAGGGTGACACATTTGGGCATTTCTTCTTCGTCTGTAACAAAATATCATATGTGCAGACATTGCATAAAGCACCATTATTTTACACACATTATTAAAATAATGTTACTTTGTTTGACGAGCCAAGACAACACCCTGATTAGATTGGGTATATATACAAAGTATGTTCAATCGCAATACAAATTTCCAAGCAGAACCAGTTCTTGGTATTTATAATGTGTAACTCACGTTTAACAAAACTTTTTATAAATGACCTCACCGGTTCCCAGAATATTGCAGTATTATGCCACGTATCTATGCATCGGGTCTTCACACAGCTGTGTGTACAATCTATTCTCTCAACCCATAAGTTGAGTTTCATTATCACTGACGTGATGCCAATGAATTTATTCTTCTCTAATTGACTATTTAATATTATTTCGTTATTTTGCACGTTCCAAGACTGATAATTTTCATAGTATAAACTAACAAGAACCTAGTCACTATACTCCACGTTTTCTTAAAACTCAAACACTGACACGAAATTAAAAAGCAAATAAGGCATTTGGCAATAAAACAAATGCATTACCACCACTAGAGGTATTTCTGATATTATCACACTTTCTCGATGAGAATGTCATTTTATCTTTAAACTTTCCTCTTCTGCTCTATTAGTTTTCAACTTGAATACGGACATAAACCAAGCAACGACTGGGGCCAGTTGCCTTTACAATTCCTCAATCAGGTGATTGTCAGTAATTCAAACAATATCCGGAATAAAAATTGTTCATAAATTCTAGTTAATGACGAAGAAAGAAACTGTTGTGGTTACAGCAGCAAAGAAAGTCAGATTATAAAATTTGCAACTGCGACGTAATGGCAGTCCTGTTAACACCACAGCCAATTTCGTAGAGCAGAATACTTCGTAACAACTGATAACGAATTAGAATTTCCTCCTTATTGACCGGGTGCAAATATATTCAAAACAGCCCAGAACTGGATGTTATCTAAAGTCCATTGAATACAGTCCACATTATTCCGTCTACTTCCTTAAAGTTCCTTCTTAATATTGTCCTATATTAATATTGGTGTCTTCACAATTCTTCCCTTCAGGATTTCAGAGTTGCACTTCATTTGTATTTCCGATTTCCCCAATACGTGTCACATGGTGCGGTATAATACGAAATAGAATTCACTGTTGACAATGAAACCTTTAATATAATTTTGTTATATTACACTCTACAGACCCAGATAATTTTTGATGGCAAAGAAGACGAGAAGTGACACAGTTCGTAGTAACTTGAGTACCGACACGAAATTATAATCCTTAAAACACAATCAAAAATAAAGATGGAAATAAAATGAGAATATCACCGCAACTTAAGCTACTTCCCATGTTGCCTTTACTACTTACCATAAATAAAAGATGGCTGTCTTCTTGTTTATAGCGCCGTGTGTTCTGGTAGACGTTTGCTAGCGTTTCAGAGGTCCTTGCTGCCTCCGTCATCAAGTGTCATCGCCCTGATGATGGAGGCAGCAGGAACCCCTGAAACGGTAAACGTCGACCAGAATACACGGCGCTACAAATCAGAAGACAGCCATCTTCATACTCTCAGCTGTGAGAACTTCAGGTCCTACGTGAACTTAAACAAGATGAACGCGACTGTCTTGGTTTTCTCGTTAATTACGTATCATGTGGTTCTGTTTTGTTCAATTTGGCGCCATTCTACGTTTTTCTCAACTTTGTCATGGCTTTCAACGATCTGAACATTTGTGTATCAGAACCTGTATCGACACACATCACGCAGGTTTTATAAATCAGTGGGGTATTTGTCTTGTGTTTACAGTTTTATACATTATCTGTAGTTTTAAACATTTTATAAGTTCAGTTACAAAACGTCATCTGACCAGGAAAGTTTTATATTCTTAACTGCATGTGATTTACTTATAGTTAAATCGCTGCAAAGAAAACACTTAGGTGGTGCCATCTTGAATTGTTAAGAAGAAGAGAGACACATGAAGCCTATTTATTTAGTTTTCTGTCTGACGACAGGTCCATATGAACAGGATCCTTCCATCCTTTTCTCGGACTGGGACCTGTTCATATACGTTCTTGGCAGATGATCCAGAAGTGGGTTGCCATTGCCTTCTTCTGTGTGTGAATGAAGTAATTGTTGGGATGCCACGGAGGAAAACGCCGTGTTGCCTAGACCACGGCCTTGCCCAACACAAGTTATAAATTCGGGCACCGCCGGGAATCGAACCCGAGACCCCCAGGATTACAAGGCCAGCGTTCAATCCGCTAGACCACCGTCGCTAATACATGAAGCCTACAATATGTTAATCTCACGAAAATTAATATGACGTTCTAGTTACTACGATTATTGATTATTTTTTATTCGCAGTTTTGTGACACCTAAAATAAATTTCACAACTATTTATGTACATAAATATTTTGAGATATCTAAATAATACACTAGTAGGAAAAGCAACCTTATTTGCGTGATCAGTACAGAAAACCTGATGGGAATATATAATTCGTAACACATTAAAGAATTAGGTTACAAAGATGTGACATAGTCTAGGGACCAGTACGGGCTTTTATGACTACGACAATGAACTCCCGGTTTCCGTAAAAGATGGAGAAATTCTTGACTATATATGCGACTGTTAATTTTTTTTCAAAAATACTGATCAACAGAGTTTTTATATTCTTTAAGCGTCTTTGTTTGTTGCGATTTAAAGAAAAAAGACAAATACCGTTTGAAAGTTCTAATAATCTGTACATTAATCCATGGGGTCACGTGGCAAAAGTACGAGTTTCATTATTTACGTAACATTATTATTCATTTAAACGTACACAACATATATTCATTATGTTTTTGTGTCTTCTGGTGTCTGGTGTACTTTATTGCAAGTAAAACTGTCCATTAATGTTGGATGACCGGCAGCATATGTTATGAAACCAGTTCTAAAAAGTAGTCGTAAAAATTGTACAGGAGAGATATTAATTGCTAATAAGAGTTGCTACTCTGACAGCTACTCCCATTTCTCTTAACTGAAAATACTTCATGTGTATGTCAGCAATTGTCGATTTACTTCTATGGACCAGATCTGCTCTGTTTTATTCCTCGTTCAGGCTGGCGGTGTAGTTGGGATTCATAAGTGTAAATTAATTACGTTGAGATATATGCCGTTGTAAAGATTCAGATACAGTAAATCCTCTTCCAACGCGATTTTGTACAACGCGGATTCGATTTAACGTGAAAGTAATTTGCCTTACGCGGAAAATTTGATTAAACGCGGTCTACCAAAAAGGTTGTAGTATCATGCGAAAATTAAAGTTAGGATAGAAAATGTGGTTTGTCATTTAAAATGATATTTTTCTCTGCTTTTACAGGGGTTATGAAAATATGATTACAGTGACGCTCGGTAATAATCCCTCCATTTCAATAAAATACGTTGAATTTCTTGATCAGCTGAACTACTCGTACTTTTTGAGGTAGGATTTGCTTCATTATGTAATTAGTTAAAGCAGAGTAGCTTTATAACGATTTTTATAATATTTTAAGATCCATTCTGAAGTCATTATATAAAATATATTGACAATCACTCACGCATACACAAGAATCAAAGTGTATAAACCACGTTATGTTCACTAAATCAATAAATTAATTTTATTTATTTATACTTTATTTCACGACGGTAGTGTTGGATGAGATACGATGACAGTGAGTAATGAATCGGGAAGGATGTGAAAGAAAGCGGTCGTAGCCTAATTTAAGATACTCTTCGGAGGGACTGGGAAAAATCATAAAAGAACCTCAGTTAGTTTAGCCAGTCTTCGGGTCGAGATTTCAACCCGTGACCACCCAAATACGAAGCAGGAGAGCTAAGTACTCAGGTACGACAAGTAAAATACGTAACTTGAAATGTTTATTTACAAATGCAATATACACAATACACAATGAATAAAGCTTCAGATAAGTAGAAAGTTGAGGTAATATTTACAACGATCGTGAGATATGTAGCGATTATTGTGTTATGATTTGGTGAGACTCGTGATGATTATGGTACATCTTATGTGGCTGTAAATGGCGAAGTTACACTTATACAAGAGGTTACATTTGTTCATGAATTTTCATACTCAACAGGTCATTTCTTAAAATCTTTTGAATGCCAATTCGCAACAGTGCGAAGGCTTTGTAATTTTTATATTGTGGTTTATGAAGTATGAAGGCGTATGTGGGAGTAGAGGTATGTTTCCATGCATTCCTAACGTTGATACCGAATAAAGGTGAACCTGGTAGGAATCTATGTAGGCCCAACGGCGGTCTGCATGCCGGAAATAGAACCACGATTGTCCAGCTTGAGAAACTTAATTTCTGACTGACTTATAGTGGCTCATTTTTGTATTGTGACCTTTGCTATGTATGGCCAGAAATAGAGGGCGGTAAAATATTCCCTTCAAACAAAAATACCAAGGAATATGTAAAATATTTTGAGAGGAAGATATGATAATTTTTCAGATTATATATAGGCTGTAAATTATGTGAACTATAATTCTATTCGAATGCCAGTATCATGAATTTGATGACTGATGATGTAAATGTTATTGCTGCAGTCTTACTGTTGATGCCCGTACTTTTCTGATCCACCTCCAATGATAAAGCTACTGTAACTTCCAGGACTTCCGTCAGACAGAGATGAATGTTCGTTAGAATAAATTTGAGCAGGTACCTCATAATGGGAAGCTTCTTGCGAAAAACTTTGCTGAAGATCTGGCTCATAGGATTGGTACTTGACAGGGTAGACGACCTTCTTCACTGGGTACACCAGTTTCTTGACAGGAGCAATAACCTTCTTGATGGGCCGAGGGTGAGTGGCGTGTCCGGACTTCTCGACCTGAGCGATGAATCCGGTGTGTTTGTCGGCCGTGTACTTGACAGTGCGGACTGTGCCGTCTGGTTCAACCAACTTGTAGTAACCCTCCACCTTGTCGCCGTCTCGCTTCTCGTACTGTTCCTTGATGTCGTGTGTGTGCTCGTCTTTCACGCCATATTTGAACTCGTAACGAGCTGGTTCCTACGCATTAAGGCAAACTCACTTATAGTAGCTATCATCAAATGGCATGCTTTAAGGCCACCCCCATTACAGCGTGGTTCTAAGTCAACAGTGTAGCGTTATGAACGTTACTGCGCAGCGAGTTATGAGCTGTCGTAACTCGCCTGAGCTCCGCTATTTGTGTTGTAACGTTGCACGATTTTCCTCTGACATTAAAGCATTCAGTTCGTTAAAGACTACTGTAGTTGCTGTTTCTCTGATGGTCCGAAATTTAAAGACGTTTTGTGCAGGCACAAACCTTGACTGGACTCTTTGGGACGACGTAAATTTGTTGTTATTTTCTGAAAATCAAGTCAGCGTATATGCAAACAACATACCTACTTGGGGACTAAGTTTCTCATGGCGGTGAAGATGTTTGTGTTCTTATAGGTTACAACGCTGTCAAATTTTGTAGCTGGTTATAGACGTTTCGAATCGTTTCTCCCAAAATATTATTAGCCTGAAGGGAACCGAACTGAGGTATCTTACATGAGCAAGTGTTACTCGCAGTGGCACATGGTTAAACAACGAATTGTATTCCAAACAACTTCGACGATTAGGAAAATGTGGATTATGTTAACGTTACAAAAGTAAACTCAGTTAAATTTAGTTTCCTTTTCATATTTTATTTTCTTACATGTTCAGGACATGCAGTGCTGCATAACTTTCTCTTCGGAGCTGGAACAGTCTTGCCACTGCATCAAAATATCTTCACACTGAACTGAGTAGATTAGCTCAGCGGCAATTAAAGGTAAATCAGTGCAATTATTATCAGATAAGCTGACATTCTGCTTTAGTGTTTCAGTATTTTCTTCGACCTCGCTAGGCGAACACAAGGAAGACGACTTCAAACTGTCAGAAATTGTGCCTGGGTGCTCAGTTCTTAGTTATTACCGTCAACCAGTTAGCAAGCCATGTCATAATTTTCAATAAAGTTCCGCTGTGACTGATAGGAAATGTGGAACGTCGATATCTTTGTATGAAATGTTTGGACATAATTAATGTGTGTTAAACGGACGAGCAGAATCATTTAGGGGGAGCGCTGCTTTAGATTTACAGGTTGTGTACTCACGTAATGCTGCTCCTCCACTTGATGGTGCTGCTCATACACTGGCACGGCGATTGTAGAAACTACCAGCATGGCAGCCAGACATACGACCTGACAGCAGAAGTACAAACTGCGATCACTCATCTACATTTCCTTAAGTTCTTCCATACACGTTAAGCTGGATTCTTTAACGATTTTTCGTAGCAAGTGTGGGCATTAATGATCTTTTGTGATTACTATTACTAAGTTTAGTAAAATATTTAATTTCGTGATTACAGCACAAGGAAAGGATATAAGGAAAGACATTCGAGCAGTGTGACATACAGCCAGTTTCTGCGTGGGTGTTAAGTATAAGATACTGGAATGACCATATCAGTAGAATATATCCACAAAGAATCTGCAAAATTGTAAGGGGCATGTCGCCACAAGGAAAAAGAACGTAGGAAGACCCGCGAAGAGGTGGAAGGATTCTCTTTGACCTGAAAGAACAGGCAATTAGCCTATTATAACAGAAATATGATGAAAAAGGTGTTGTTTGCCATTTAAAACGCAACCCAACAACAGTTTCGTTCTGGGGAAAAAAATGAAATCTGATGCAAGTCACCCGCGTGACTCCACCAACCTCTAGAGTCAAGGTCACCCTGGATGCTACGCATCTGCTCACGTGAGAACACGGAAAAGCTGTGTTTACGATATGAATCTAAGTACGATACCAGGGTGTATTCGGTATCAATATATAAAAATACTGTTAGTAATCTGGTACAAATGTAGTGTAATTCTATCGAAGTATTCACCGTGAGTCTATGAAGGTACATGATAAATTCTAGGCAAGATTTTACCGTATGTGAGGAGATATTGCTGAAAATCTATCTTGCCGGAATATGCCCTGTATGAATGTAGCGAGGCAGGCTAATTGATATAATTCATACATGATGGCCGGGTAGCAATTTGTCGTAACTGAGGTTTCTACGGTCCTCTATTTGAATTCGTGGTGCAGTGGTTGCAGCCAGCGCCATCTGTTCTTCAAGTGACACGTGACTAACTCTTAGCTGTGTGGTTGAGTTTCCGTTCATCTGCTTCTCTGTATCTTTTGTACGTTACGTTATCGGTATTCTTTGGCATTACTGTTCCTTTTGAACGTTTTGCTCGAGAACTAGACCAGTTGACCAATTTTTAACACTCTTGTTACGTATTCGTGTGTCCTAAATGGAAAGTCTGGTTGATTTTCTGAGTTGCTTCAAGCAAATGTTTAGTTGGTATCATAAAATGGGTCACGTCAGTTTCCTCTCACATGTATCTTAATTCGTAATTCAGGTAAATATTTCAGTCAACTTTACATAAAGTATATAACTGATGAAGTTACACTTTTTACGTCAAGAAATTTCGTATCCATTTGGTTCCAGTTTAACTAAATTCCCGATAGCAGAACTAGGAAGTTTTAATACCTCAAATGCCGAAGCACGACATCAGACACAATCGTGAGCCAGTTCAATCCTTTTGAGATCACAAACTTCCGTAGTAATTTTGTCTACATATTTTCTTCTCTGTCCTTAAAATTACCGTTTCTCAAGAGATTTTCTTTAAAACTTCTGTATGTTTTCTTATTATCTTTGCTACTTTACTAGCCCATTGCAAACTTTGCTGTCCTAAGGGAAGATTAAAACGAGCTCGTATGTGACGCAGAAGCGTGATCATCTTACACCATGCACGTGAATTAACTTGAGACCAGTTGTCATGATGTGTGTGATGTAACAAGTAAGACGCGAAGTAGAACCGTCATAACAGCTTTTGTAATTGAGGTCACGCGTTCAGTTGAAGTTCTTGATTCTCCGGAAACGTTCTTGCTATGATACACGATTTACTTCAATACATGCCCAATTATTTACTTCGTTGATACTTCATATATTATACATTTCTTTACGTGACTACTTTTACAAGTTTAAGAAAACAGGTTTATAACAATAACTGGATTTAAATTTATTGTAATATTGGAAAGTTTTATGTAAATTAGTAAAACCATTGTAATCTTAATTTAGATCGGACAGTTTCAACGACCACTTTACATAAGAGCACGAGTACTTTTTTTAATTTATCTCAGAACGTGCGTTCAAAGTTGCATAAACTTACTGATAAAACATGTAAAACATGGTACATATTTAAAGATGGCTGATTTATGGGTCATTGTGCTATGTAGTCTGGTAGAAGATTACCGACGTTTCAGAGGCCCTTGCTGCGTCTATCATCAGTGCGATGAGGCAGCAAAGACCTCTAAAACGTCGATAAAATTTTACCAGACTACACGGCACGACAGCCAAGAAGACGGCCATCTTGAATTCTAGAAGTTACATGTTTTCATTTTATCTTATTTTGGTAAACATTTACTACATTATAAAGTAATTAAAATGTGTCTTTGTGGCCGAAGTTGACGTCATGTGCATTTGGTTCTGATTTAATCATAAGTTTGGCGACACCTAATTTTTTCTAACACGAAGCCAACATATGCAGACCCCTGTCTAAATCACTCAGGCTTTTGTTAAAAATATCTGAAATGGATCACTTCATCCCACTTATTTCCAAATATTTTCAGATTTTTTTCAAATACTTGTAACCTTTTCAAGTCTATGTGTTCCACCTGATTTAACAATCTTTTTGTTACCTTCTGTAACAGTGAGTGAATCTGCATTTTGTGATCTTGAATTTTGTATGATGCTCGCTGTAAACAGGGATTATTTCCGTAAAAATGTACAACTTAATTTTTGTAATAGAAGCTGTGTTTTTCTAAGTACGGTCTGAATTATTAAACAATACTTAGCCAAACTTGGGCTTCACATGGTTAATTTGTTATTTGTTAAAGTTCCTGTACTTCATATCCATCTCAACCTGACACTAAATGACTTCTGCTCTTGATACAACGTGGTTAAATTACTTTTTAAATGTGCGGCATGAGATAAATGGCAGTACGGAGCTGTCTTACCTCAAAATTGACCATGTTTTATGACGTCACTAGTTTGTTGGTCTTTACCCAATATCTTGTAACGATACTCTGAAGTACACGTAGGTTCTGGTTGAATGGTTCAAGCTGTGAAGTCCTTATATACGTATACCGATCACTAATGGTGTAACAGGTGAAACAAACCCACGGGGCAAGCCTTCGTTAAGCCCGTATGGCTACTTAATAATTTGCACTGTTTTGTCCCCACATCACAGAAACCTTTCCTTTTTTAATCCTCAAGCTGAGTAACGTCTACATTACTTCCGGCTAATTCCATTCACTTACTCCCGTCTCTCCTTTGAAAAGAAATCAATTATATCCCATTCACGATTCTAGTTAAAATATTAATTTCTTCAACAATCACTTACTGTCCTTTTGATTTATAGCAGTAAACTTGTTTAAGATGTAAATAGTAGGTGGATCTATGTGTTATTGTCAACTTGTCTTCATGTAAGCAGCCACCCCACGCATGAACACGTACTAGCTTTATGTAACATGACAGTAGGTCTAGGGCAGTGCCCTTTTTTGTGTGTGACTGTACTTTCTCTTTCTGGTAAAATCAGTGTAAAGATGACTCGAGGCACCAGCCTTTTTATTCGCAGATTAAATGCTTTCTTACTTTATAGGCGGTTACATAAAGTTTCTGCGTCGCCATACGAATTAAGCACATCACATGTTTTGGTACTTATACGTGTTGGTCTTCGTATGTAATACAATTATATAAAGCTTGTAGGGTACATATAACATTTTCTCCCCTGCGAAAAGTCTTATTTCAAAAAAGACTTTCGACTTCTCCATACAGAAAAATCTTATTTTTTACTTAACGTTTCGAATGTACCACCAAAGTATAATTACTGGTGTGATTTGATGACAAATATTTAATCGTACTGTACAATAATCTTCATTTTATTGTAATGATTCTTATTCCAGGTCACTTTCCATTGTTCGTAAGAACATACTTCTTCACAATCAGAGCACAAAAATGCCACTATGACAGCGTGAAAATTTGTAACACGTGCCACCGAAGTACAGAATTCCTTGGATTTGCGTGCTACTTAGCGTGAAAATACGTAACAACACGTGGCTTAAGAATTACAGCTGCCTGCAATTTATTAACATCTAGAGACTGATATACGAAATTCCTTCACGATTCGTTTTAACTCGGTTGAACAAAATGGGATGGAAAGAATGTATTGTCCCGATTTAACTTAGGGTTAATATTTTAGCAAAAAGAACTCCATATATCTTGGGATAGTGTGGAAAGCGGGGAGCCAAACCAAAAACCTCTATTCTGCTTATTCAGTTACGTCATGATGCAAAAATCAAATAATCAAAGACACGTTTTCTAGATTTAGTTATTTCGATAAATAATACAAAGTGATAGAAGAGTTACACCTCCTATTTCTGACACATGTTCTGTATCTAAAGAAAAATTACACCAACGTCAGAAAAAAATAGTGTCCCGGTGAGACTGTCACTGAACGGGACACATCAGCTATTGGTATATGCTAATGATGTACATCGATTGGGGATAACATAATTACCATAAAGAAAAACACAGAGACTCTAATTGATGCTAGTAAGTACGTTGGTCAAGAAGAAGACACAGAGAAAACTAAGTAAATGTTGACATCTCGTCACCAGAATGCAGGGCAAAATCTAACATAAACACAGCTAATGGATCCTTTGAAAACGTGGCAAAGTTCACATATCTGAGAACTGTAACAAATCAAAATTGCATTCATGGAGAAATTAAGAGCAGTTTAAATATGGGTTTTGCTTGCTACCATTCAGTGCAGAAACTTTTGTCTTTTCGTCTGCTGTCTAAAACCACAAAGATTAAAATATACAAAACTATAAATTTTTTCTCTCTGGTTTTGTATGAGTGTGAAAATTGGTCTCTGACACTTAGGAAGGAACGTAGACTGAGGGCGTTTGAGAAGGTGCAGAGGAGAATATTTGTGCCCAAGAGAGATGAATTACTAGGAGGCATTCTTCCACTTCGACTGTTGAAAGACAATTGACGGACTGGCGCGAGCAGGTTATTACATGATGCGACCTGCGTGGGCTCTTGTATAGTCACAGCGAAAGTTTTTGCTTATTAACTAATTTCAGTGCAATTAAGTTACAACTGTTAATAAATAGTTTAATTAGTGGTGCGTGACTTATAAGACCCAAAGATGACGCTGATAAAACTAAAACTGTTGTCCATAACAAACATTCTTAAAAGAAAGTGATTAAATTTACTTTCGGTGAAATTTCTTTGTATGTCTACTAAAGCTGATAAATTATGTTAGTGCTTATTTAAGCACCGTTTAATTAACAATTTATTTTTAGATCACAGTGATATATTCAATGTACAAAGTTCTTTATTATTTATTAGCTCTGCATTTTCCCCACAGAGTTCATTTTCTGATATTTAGTTCTGAGAGTAAACAGCAGTTATTTCCATAAAGAGCATTAACCAGCTAATAGTTTTAATGGAGACGTGTTGTGTTTTGTGGTAGACGATACATAGATGAGCGTCGTCTGCAAATGGTTTAAAAGGTATCCCATTCTAAGCACTACGCGTGTGGGGAAGTTAAGGTATAGCTCATTCTTAAATACATTAAACCTCGGCTTTATATGGATGTAAGTGGTCAACTACGCGCTCCGGCATACCACTCGTGGAAAGAACAAATTTGTATTGAATACAGTTTTAGCTTCACATTTACAGCGCATAACTTCGTAGTAACCAAACTTTTATGTCTTATTTCAAGAAAGATTACAGGCTGGTGAATGGAGAAAATAATATATATATACATACACCAACTTTATACGGTGCTTTATATATTCTAAGAGTCCTTGTACCCATGTATGTTAACAGAGATTTAAAATAACACATTTTTAATTTTAATGCAGGCACCTCCTTCAATATCGGATTGAAATTTGACGTTATTTTGCGGAATTTATTCATTTTATTAGTTCAAAAACAAAGCAGCGTAACCAATACTTACGTTTAGTTACTTCGTAGTACCTAAGAGGGAGGAAGTAACAGGAGATTCAAGAAAATTACACAGTATTTAACTTTGGCGTCGATAGTTTCGTGTAGTCTGGTGGAGGTCTATCAACGTTTAAGAGGTTCTTGCTAATTCCATCACCAGGTCAATGGCTACAACCCAGATTACAGCCATTTTCACAAACCCCAAATCCTACTTTAGCTTTATAATTTATATACTTCGACAAACTTTATTTGGCAGTTATGCTCATAAGAGAAACAAAAACTACAGACAGAACTTGGTCCGAATACTTGAAATTAAAAAAACTACTTGGGGTACCTAAGCATTGATAGGAGACATGATAAAATGAATCTTAAAAAAGTAAAATATCTTGTATGAGGACATTGAATAGAGTCATCTGGTTAGTAAAGGAACAAGTTGAGGGTTCTTGTGAACCTTCGGCTTCTATAAAAGGCGAGGAATTTGTCGACCAGCTGAGCGATGTTTAGCTTCTGAAAATTTATTGTGCTCCATGTAGTTTGACGTGTACAAATTTCACTCTGAAAATAGCATAATTTCTGTTTAGAAACTCATTATGAACACGATTATAAAATAATACATATTTTGCCCTAAGATCACGTAATAACATTCTCTTACGTGATTATGTATTAGAATGTGATTTTAGCGCCTTTTCGTGTCAACCCGTTACACGTTACCACAGTAGGTCCTAAGCAAGTAACTTAACTACAAGAAGTGTGCACTTGTAGCATTATATAATACTTTTGCTTTGTAATGCACCTAGGTTTTGAGTGAAGGAAAATAATTCTATTGGGCTGTGCAATACAATATTCAACAGGTAAATAGTAAGTAATATGTCAAAAATGCTAGAGAGATAATAAAACATTTTTGCCTAATCACTTAGGAATTTTTACCCCTTTTATAAATAGAACAAAATGGATGCAAGAGGTTCATGTATTGTTTGCCGCTATGTAATGGTTGTACAAGAGACCAAGACATAAAGTGACCTTATTTAATACGTACGTAGTAAAAATTAAAATTTGTTGTGTAGACCGAAAAATTACTTTTATGGAGGTCTCCATGAGGCAGAGTTGTTACTGAGTCGGTGTTATGGAACGCAAAAGGGCGAATAAACTTACTGTAATAAAATCAATATCAAATATTTATCAGAAGTTTCAGAAGTAATTCTGAAAATGTAAGTTCTTAAACATTTTATAGAATTCCTGGGATTGAACTGGTGAGTCCTTGGCAAGATGTCTGCTGATGAGAGTACAGCACAGCACAGAAATATACGAAAACACACCCATGCCCAAAGCCAGTACAGAATTTTTAATATTTGTTGTGTTCTTAATGGTCGTTACGCCGTGTAAGTTAATTTTTAAGAAAGTTTTATTTACAGGAATTCTGTTAGCCAACAGTTGGCTGATGTGTGTGATTGTGACAGTACTGACGTCATGGTTTTGTAATGTGACCCTGACCATGCAGAAATACCTAGCTGTTGTAAAATATTGGCAACTTTGACTGGAGCAACTCTGGTTAAAGTTGTATCGCTTGTAGCCACTGAATGTGATGTTGCAACCATTTTGTCACTTCATTCATAAACAGGATTTAGAAGCGAGTATAATCAATTGAGGCACATTATCTTAATGGAAGCTAATGTGCTGACTATTCAGGAATTATTTACATTGCGGCAAAATGTTAGATTTGAATCATATAAGCATAACTTACTTTATTTCGGAGAAATGTATTGTTATTTATGTCTGTGTATCATAATTTAAGAGAATGTGTTACTGCATAGGTTACGAAAACAGAAGTAAAATCCGCTCCAACATATTTATACTTGACAGATAAATGTTCTTTTTTTTTCGTGAGTTGTAATGAGAATATATATAAAAAGAGCAGGGTAAATTAGGAAGGATAGTAATATTTTAATAATGGCTCTAAAATCCACGAGCCCGATTTCTGTATCCACAGAGAAGTTGTGGCAGATTTAAGAAACTTTATGTTCTCTTCTACGTCCTCTTGAGAAATTGCAGTGATCGAATAAAATAGGTGGAACACCGTTCAATTGCAATGAAGCTATAAACCACCAGCAA